AGCAAATGGAAATTGGGTAGTTAAATTACTTTGAGGCAATGGACTGTAATTCTGAGGGCCTGAGTTCTAGTTTTCCATTATGAGACTGATCAAGGCTGATCTCCTCATTTCCTACAGTGGAGTTAATTCCCAAGAACCTTCATATTATTCTGATTTTCCACCTCTAGCCATACTTTCTGTTCTCCAGTATTTACTGTCATATTATTTGTCTCAGACTTTTCAACCCTAAGCTGTCCTGTAAACAATGTATCATCATGTAATATACAAATTGCATCTATCATGAAAAGACCCCTCCTCAAGTCCCATTACTTGAAGACCTCAAATATCTGCCTCTATAAGCCACCTCCTGCTCAAAATTCCACACTGCCTATCTTGTATTTATTATATAGTACAAGAATCTACCATGTATCCTTTTAGAGACACATCACTTACAGCCTGATATACCATAAAGATCTTTGAGAACAAGAAACATATTTTGGGTGAGTGAGATGGCTCAGTATGTAAGATTACCTGCCAGAGAATTTAAGTTTGAGCTCAGGGTCCTACAGTCGAAAGAGACAGTCTATTCCTGAACATTGTCCTTTCACCTTCTACATGAATTCTATGGCATTTTGTGATGCTACACATGTGAACATACATGCATTTACACACATACACACAGAATAAAAACTTTTAAAAATTTATCTTTTAATTTATTGCCTACTTTCTCTTTATCCCCAATGTGTATGCCTGTGAGTTTGAGTATCTTCAGGGTCCCATTAGTGTTTATTCATCTTTCCTGTATCTCCACAAGTAAATGTACAAATTAGTATGTTTCCTAAAGAATGTACTATTTGAAGGAATGTCGTGTATTCCTTAATACTATTGAAAAATAGAGTGTATCAACATGTAAATTATATAAATAGAATGAATTAATATTTACCTGTTTTATATCTGAATAGATTAAGAAGTATTAAACCTTTTGGCAGTAATCATTATTATATATTTTCAGTGCATACTTACAAAGACCTATACATGCATGTATTTATATAGATAGATAGATAGATAGATAGATAGATAGATAGATAGATAGATATGTATAGATGTATACATACATGAGTGTGGATTAATTATTTTGGAAAACTCTAAAAATTATGCAAAATTGTTAAAAGTCAAGAACTCATACTTCTCACATTCTCAAACATATTGTATTTATAAATATTTTCCCAGCTTCATATCAAGAAGAATTCATAAACTCTAAAAAAGTACTAAAATTTTAGTTGACCATAGTCTATACTATTCAGAGTAAATAAAGGCACCTTATACTCTGTGTTTCTTAAAAATTGTTAAAAATCAACTAGACTCTTAAAATTATGTCATCTTGAAGAAATATCACTACACCTTTCTTGGTAGTATTCTCCTTATTGTTTGTAATGTAATAGCCTGATGTTAGCTAGCAAAGTTATTTTTCTTCCTGTTTCTTAAAATACATTCCTTGTAGCTTAGTTAATATTTCTGAAAAATTTGAATGAATTTATTTTTCTAGAGAATGCATTTGAAGTGGCATTTTAACTGTCATCAGCCATTATTTATTTGGTAGTTCTAAACAGTATTTATTTGATAGTTGTACACAGTTGGAATATCTGATAATTTCACTTGCAGTCACAATAAAATCTTTCTTTTTTATGTCTTTTTATATAAAAAGAATTTCAGTCATAGCCTCACTAACAGTTCTGTGACATGATATCATAATTACAAAGGCATGAGCTTTTTTTTTTATCCCACGGTAATAAAGGAATATGTACCTAGCTCCCACACAAAATTAATGTAATGTAGAATATGCCCACAAGAAATTCATGAGTCTCATTAATTAAATACCTACTTCCCAAAGATTTCAAAGTTATTTTCATTCACAATTGGGGAGGTCTATTCCATTTTTAGTGGCACCATTTCCTGTGTTGGATAATTGAAAACTCCTGGGAAGCCTCCTAGATCCTATGGACCTAGTGAGTCCTTGAACATCTTGGATTCCAGAACTCTGACTAGGGATGTCAAGGAAATAAAAGAAAGAAAGGATAGACACACAGGCACAGAAACACCTGTGATCTGGTGGACTGGGCTCTCTGGGAGAGAAGCTGTGTTGTTCCAGAAGAGGAGCATGCTTATTTTATACAGTTTAACAAGGAGAATGCGTTTATGATATGCATCTGAATCAAGGAGACACATTTAGCTAATCTCCAATAGTAGCAATCTATGTAGGGGACCAATATTTAGGGGATAAATATGTGAGATGAAGGGGAGAAAGTTACAGAGGATATTTTCTGCACAAAGTATCAACATTCACACTGGGACCCAGAGGGATATTTTGCCATCTCCCTGAGCCTCACAGACTCTTGAGGAGTGATTTGCTAATTTCTTAGCAATCTGAACCATTGGTCCTTTATATGGTCTGTGTAATGATAACTCTTTCTGCCAAGCCTCCCAAGCCCTGCAGCTATGTGGGCACCTAAAATATCACACAGAGATTAATGTTAGGTACAATGCTGCTGGCCAATAACCAGTATTTCTTATCTGCTAGCTCAGTCTTAATTATTAACCATATGCATTAATCTATATATTTTATAAAGACTTACCGTATGGAGGACGCCAGCCTTAGCGTCCAATCTTCTTGGTGATCACATGGCGACCCTGTCTCTACTACATTTCCCAGAATCCTCCTCGACTGCTAGTCCTGCCTAACTTGCTCCCCTGTTGGCCAACAGTGCTTTATTTATCAATCAATAAGACAAACATATGCACGGAAGGACTTCCCCCATCAGATTTGTGCCAGCCTTTTTCTTTTTTGGGGGACCAACTCCCAAATCATGACACACAGACTTAATGTTAGCTGGGAATGCCAAGTCTTATCTGATTTTTAATCTGTTTCTCTTAGTTTACATTTTGCTTCAGGGCTTTTTATTTTTCTTCCCTTCTGTATGTCTTACTTTCACTGCTTCTCATGTCTCTCTGTCAGCTAGCAGGCTTCTGGCCCAGGACATGTCCCTCTCATTCTCTCTTATTCTCTCCTTCTCCTCTCTTCACTTTTGGTCCTAGATTTCTCCTCCTATTTATTCTGTCTGCTTGCCATTCCCACCTACCCCTCTCCTGCCTAGCTATAGCCTGTTTATATTTTTATTAGACCAATCAGGTCCCGTAGGCAGGCCAGATAAAGAGCAACACATATTTTCATAATTGAAAAAAATGCAACATAAAGAAATGTGACACATCTTTACATCTGTAACAAAGGCAGCAGAACAAATGCAACCCACCTTTACACAGTTGAACTAATATTCTGCAGCATAAACAAATAGAATACATCTTAGTCAAGTTAAAATAATACACCATAATAATGGCCACCTTGTATAGATACATATCCACTCAGGACTTTGCACACTCAAGATTTCCTCTTCTCACACCTTACACAAAGTACTTGGCTTTTTTTATCTATGTCAGTGACTGCACCTTCCAAGGGCAGAGCATTGCCTCTCAAATATTTCTCCATTCCTCTTTACTCCCAATTATCACTACAACTTTGGCTAATGTCAAATATAGGCAGTATTTATACCATTGGCACTATGTAAACTAGTCTGTCACATTCAGCCTCCAGCCCCACAAAGTATCAAGGCCTAGGCAAAATGAACTCCAATTATTTGAAACAGAAAAGTAATAATGACATTTAGAGTAACTGTCAGTAAAGTACTACTTTCCATCAGAAATCGAATAAATGTCAGTTTTCCTATTTGCAATCTTATCAGCATTCAGTCTTTCTGAATCCTCACTGCAGTTTCCTTTTAAACCGTACTTATAGTATCCCAGGCTTTTTTCTAGCCAGCTGCTTGAATTAGTTCCAAAATTTTATTACACACCAATTCAAAATGCTTAAATACATTAACAGATATAGATTCTGTGCAAAGACCTAATTTCTTTGTCCCAATTTTCTGAGTCATTTATCCACTATCCTAATATTATATTATCCTAAGGCAATCATTTTATGTGTGCTCACAGTTTAGAGGCTTCAGTCCATGCCCATTTGACTAAGTGGCTTTGGGATTGTGATAAAGCCCATTATAGCAGAAGTTCGACACAGCAAAGCTATCTATTGCATGGGCAGAAAGGAGAGGAACAAACACTGGGTAAGAAAGACTGATGCTGGCATTCTCCTATGTCCCACTTCTTAATGATTTCCCAGTTTCCAATTAACACCTCTCTGAGCATCAAGCCTCCACTTCATGGGCCTTTGGGATGAATTAAATATCCAAATTATAGTATGAATTATAAATACTTGTCTAAGAAAAGAGAAATCTGTATATAGAATTGACTATAATCATTCTCAATTTTAGTGAACTGCAGCATGGAGATTAATGATTAGTAAAATAAGATATTATTTTCATTCTTTTTATCTTTTTAAAATATTTTATAGCTATCAAGATGAGCAAAATAGAGGCTGGGAAGATGATAAGTCAGTAAAGTGCCAGTTGCCCAAGTATAAAGGCCTGAATTTAGATGCTCAGGGCCTACAGAAACACAGAGCTCTCAGTGTGCTCTTGTATCCTCAGAGCTGTAGGATAGGCATACAAAGAAGGAGATTAGAATTGCAAAACAACAACAACAACAACAACAACAAAAACAAAAACAGCTTAAGCAGCCTTTTGAGGATAGGGACATTTCCCAGAGAGTTGGGAAATATTGAGATTTTTAGCATTTAGCTACAATATTTACTTACTCTGAATCTAAGGAAAGCTGTTTTTATCATATTTTGTATGCTTTGTAATCAAATTGTATATCTTTGAAAAAACGTATACAATGTTTTCATTGGCCAGCCAGCTGAGCCAAGCCAATCACTGAGGCCCAGTTTCAGGAACAGACCCTGCTTGATACCAAACACAAATTGTAGAGTGATAGAGGAAGTCACCTGATAGAGATCTTTGGCACACACACACACACACACACACATGAATAAACAACACATCCCCAAAACACAATTAGTCAATCAATTGTATATAAATTCTGAAACCAAAATAATAATGCATCATAGAAGGGGGAAAATCCTTCTAAAATAAATACATAGATTTTGAGATATAAAGATGCTAAAGTATTGTAAAATAACTCCTTTGACAGTAATGTTAAATAGTTATGTAATTAGTACTTGCTTATGCTTTCTGTTTTCTTGATTTCTTAGTTGTTAAAATAATTGTCTAGCAAGCCCTCCTTAAGAATAAGAGGAATGTTGCCCTTAAATTATACCAGAGGCACTCGCATGCTTCCTAAAATAACAAAAAATAATGAACAGAATTCTCTTTAGTACATAGAATCTTAGAGATAATGTAAAAATAAATAATGAACATTGTTTTCTCATATAATCTAATAAAATATGAGATTTATGTGTTATCTCTTTTAAAGACAATTAACATTAATAAATAAGAATAACATCCATTCCCCCTTACCAGTTTCCAGGTATTTTGATAAATGTTTCTACTCATTGCCTTGCTTTAACTTTCTTTAATCAATCTTTATTCTCACTACATTGACTTTTAAATTTACAATATTTAGTTTGTATTACATGTTTCAACAATGGCACTGATAATGTTTTAATAATATATCTTTGTGTATGTTTTATGAACATGATTAACTGTTATTTTTTAAATGTGTGTATTAGATATGAGCATTTTGAGATGTTTTAAACCTGAGAAACATGATGGCTTCATGGTTCAGGCAATAGATTACATGTGAAGATTAGAATTGCCAAAAAGATAAAAAAAAAAAAAACAGTTTAAGCAGCCTTTTGAGGATAGGGACATTTCCCAGAGAATTGGGAAATGTTGAGATTTTAGGCTTTTTCTATAATATTTACTTACTCAGAATCTAAGGAAAGCTGTTTATTTTAATCATATTTTGTATGCTTTGTAATCAAATTGTTTATCTTTGAAACTGTATACATTTTTCATGATCCTTGAAGAATTCTCCTTCATAGTTCTTTGATGCAGTTTTTGATGTGTGCAATGCAAATTTAAAAAATGGGGATTGTCATTTAAAAAGTTAAATTTGTTTTTACTCTCAGTACTATTTTATCTATCAGAACTCTTTTTTCCCATAGTTATATTCTGTTAAAATAACCTTGTTATGCTACCAATGTCTTCATACTCTGCCTGAGAAGATGAAGACTATAATGAGAAGATGAGGGTTTGAGTTAAAAGCCAAAGGTAAATGACAGCATATTTCACTCTTGCAGTTTCTGTTGATTGAAGTCAACGTAGGAGCAAATTGATAAGAGAGGCTGCTTGGCTACTCTCTCTAGTGGTGTCTTATATGAAGTACTGCATTGGTATATATTCATCAAGGTTTATTCTTCTGCATTGGTTTTGTTCTTATTTAGATTATCCTGTCAAAGAAAGACAAAAATTAAGAATCATTTCCAATCCACAATACTCTCACTTATAGTATGCGTTCTGCCTTTCAAGTGATTAAATATTTGAGTGTGTCTGAATAGGTTGGAGAAGCTGTTTTTACTTTCAGGTTACAGCCATATACCCTGAGTGCACCTGATCACTTCTGGTTTCATTTTGAGATGGTTTAAGTGTTTGAACAGTAATTCTAACTTTATGGTTAGAAACAATGGCCTAGCAGAATAGATTGGCTTTGAATTGACATTGCCTCATAACTGAACTTGCCCCACTTGTGGCTATAGATCAAGATGCTTTCTTCCTCAGAGACAATCATCACTCTTAAAAAGTCACTTATGGAGTTTTGTGTCTAATTGATTTAGATTATGATGATATTAAAGCCACAACAAAAACTTCAGTATCGAATACCATTCATTAGTAAGGAGAACCACTGTCTAGAATATGGTTATATGTTTATGTACATTCATATATTTTATTAAAATGTCACATCTATCTGTATGGGTCTATTAGTAATCGTATAAGATCTTGAGTTATAGGCCAATAGTAAGGCTCAGAAACAGATGTTAGTATAATGTTTATATAGCTCTCTTCCAGTTGTAATTCACTGGAGTATATCCTCAAATAAAGTAATGCTTCAATGACAGCTTTGCTAACTTGACTTTCATTTTTGTAATGTTCCTATAAGAAATATTGTCAAAATCTATTTTCTTCTTCATTGTAGATATATCATTCTCACTATAGCTAAGCTAAGAAAGAAAAAAGACAGCTTTCTGTTACATAGCAAAATACTAAACAAAATCAACTTGTAAGGAATAAAAGATCTATTTAGCTGAGTGGTTTAAGCTTTTACTGTGAGTAGTTGGCCCCTCTCCTTTTATACTTATGACTAGTCAGTAAACCATGGCAAAGAATGTAGAAAAGCCATTAATGGGTAGAGTGATAAAGTTAAGAAAATGAAGGGTTTGGGACCCCATGGTTGACTTCAAGGGTACATCCTTGGTACCTTCAGTCTACTACTAGTCAAAACATTTTATAACATCCACCTCATAGCCAGACAGGAGAATAAAGCGCATGACATATGGGCCTTTGGGGACATTTAAGATCAAATTATAGCAGTTCTTTAATGATAATCTTCCATAATCAGAAGTTGTAAATCAATGTTTGAATTTACAATATGTTCTTTCCTCGTCGATGGGAAGGGAATGGTAACCATTTTAGGCAAGAACCTTATAATGGTGCTATCAACTTACAATTTTTTAAAGGAAAAATCTCAATGGGTAGAGCAGCACCTCATACTTTTAATCCTAGTACTTGGGAGGCAGAAGCAGGCAGATCACTGTGAGATTAATTGTAAATAGTGAGTTATAGGACAGCAAGAGCTATATAGTGAGACCTTGTCTTAAAAAATACTAAAATAAATACAAAGATTTGTGGCATTCCCTTATCATTAAGCTTTGTTTTCTACTTCATTTCACTTGCTTGATTTGGGCTCCTTTCTTTAACCCTATTAAACTTTTCCTTATCTATGCCAAGAGTACTTAATCCAGGTGACATTTCTACTTATTACACAGGAAACTTAGTTTCTACTCAGATGTTGTTAGTGATAAGAAACCATAGACTATGTTCATCAGCTAATAAGAAAAGAGTTGAACCAAACTGTGAAATGTCATTTTAATAAAGAGAGAGAAGGGCTGCTTTTCCAGAGGACCTGGGCTTGATTTCTAGTACTAATTTGCTTGCTCACAACTCTCTATAACATCCAGAGGATCTGATGCCCTTGTCTTATCTCTATGGGCAATGCAAGGTTGTACTACACAGATAAAATTCATGTAAAACATTCACACAAATAACATATAATTTTTAAAAAGTAAGACAGAGGAAGCATTGTATTATTTTTATTTTATTTTATTTTATTTAAAATAATCTTATTTTACATATCAATCCCAGTTCCCTCTCCTTCCCATTGTCCAATGCTCCCCACCAACACCCCATCCCCTTTCTGCTCCCCAGGGAGTGTGCGGCATTCTTTGGGGGATCTTTAATGTCATCTCATCAATTGGGGCAGAGCCTAGGCCCTCCTCCATGTGTCTAGGCTGAGAGAGTATCCCTGTATGGGGAATGGGCTCCCAAATTCCATCCATACACTCAGGTTAAATACTGTTCCACTACCAGAGGCCCCATAGATTGCCCAGGCCTCCTTACTGACACCTACATTTGGGCGATCTGGGATAGCCCTATGCTGGCTTCCGAGATTTCAATCTGGGGTCCATGAGCTCCCCCTTTTTCAGGTCAGCTGTTTCTGTGGGTTTCCCCAGCCTTGTCTTGACCCCTTTGCTCATCACTCTTCCCTCTCTGCAACTGGATTCCAGGAGTTCAGTTCAGTGCTTAGCTGTGGTTGTCTGCTTCTACTTCCATCTGCTAAGCTTTGTTTTCTTTATGAAGCCAAATGGATGTTGTGGTTTGGATACATTTTATGAACTGTGGTAGCTTACATGTTAAGAAGTGCTTTCAGGGGCTGAAGAGATGGCTCAGGGTTTACGAGCACAGGACTTCTTCCAGAGGTCTTGAGTTCAATTCTCAGACAACACATGGTAGCTCACAACCATCTGTAATGGGATCTGATGCCCTCTTCTGGCCTGCATTGTATACATGATAAATAAGTACATTTTTAAAGAAGAAGAAGTGCTTTCGAAATATTCAGTTAGTTAAATTAGAAAGCCCTTAGAAACGCCATCATAGAATGGTCCTTTTTTCTAATCTGATTTTAGCTTCTATGATTAGATACCTGTAGAAAACTCCATTATTTCTTGTACTATGTAGAGATGGTGCAAATTAAAAAAAAAATGACATTAAAGGAACCATCTAGCTCACATGGAGCTTTGATCACACAAGTAGAAAAAGTGTGGTTGTAAGAGATTGTTTCTTAGGTCTTCAAGCTTAATGGAACTTTTGAAAAGGGAAATAATTTAAAGAGTTTATGTAAATGACAGTATTTTCTGTGGCATACAAAGAGGTAGTAGCAGGAAAACAGAAGGATGCATGCCAATTGAAAGGACTGCTTTTTGAGAAATAAATTTAATGAATAATCATTATTCAAAAAAGGACCATAAAGGTAATGAGTGGAAATTATATAGGGATATTTTTACAAATTTAGTAAAATAGAATACCTTAAACCAGACTGACTTCTGGAGTTGTTTTGGGAAGATAGAATGACTTGGTAAGGATGATTTTGATACCATCTCTTTATTCATTGTACCATGTTATATTTGAAAGAGAAATAATGTTCATGAAATGAATCTGGGGCTTTGTTAGCTAGTGATAAACACAACTCCTGGCAGCCAAATAGAAAAAAAGGAAATATTCTAGTATTTTTCTTTCTTTGGAATACTGAATAGATTATTACAGGTTAGGTTCTCTACAAAACAGACTCAAAGGAGTTCAGTGTTTATGATACTTATTCAGGAATTCCCTTCAGACTCTCACAAAGGGAGAAAAGAACAGCAAGAATAAGTGGACAAAGAGAAAAGCTGACCTATGATGGAGGACCAATACCAATTTTTACTTAAACTTTTACTTTTTGAAAGAGTTTCATACTTAATAACTGTATTTACATTATATTCTCTCCCTGTTCAACTCTTGCCATGCTCCCCTCCATCTCAATTACATTACTTCTTCTTTACTATTGTTATAAATACATACACATGTGCATATGGAGATAAATAGGGAAATATTCTATTTCACTGTCATACAAGATGAGTACCTCCTCTCAAGATGAGTAGATGACTAAACTATGTACTTGAAATTTATTCTCTGAAGACTACCTATTTTCTCATATTCAGATAATCATGGAGAATTTTCCAAGAATCGGCTCAGTCTGCAATTGAGCCTTACTAAGGCAGCAATTGCAAGGCCATGGAACATTTCCAGATATCTGTTCCCCAAATCTCTGCCAGTGTCTTGGGGGATCTAGAAATGGCTTCAAGTTGGGCTGAGATAAATAAATGGGCCTTTTATATATTTACATTCATCAGGAATATCCATAGCTTCTTCAGAAAAGGCCAGAGCCTTGTCATAATGTTCTCTGCAACTAAACAAATGCATATGCAAATTTAGAGCCTGCAATCTTGCCAACAATACTCTGATCTCCTTGGATAAGTTTATTACTGAAGGATCTGAGAAGTTTCTGATTGTCTGCCACAATAGTTTTGGTATTTCCCTTCCACATGGCAACATAGTTCTTATTAAAAAATAATGATACTCTCAAACTTCTTAGGTCCTTTACAAATAATACATACAAATAGAAAATTCAAAAACTGGAAAAAGTTCCTTCTTTTATTTATGTATATGATCACACTTGAAGTGATGATTTCTTTGTGGTATTTACATGATTTTATACAAATCCCATCCATTTTTGATTAGCTGTTTTTATAAGCAGTTAAGCTGAGATATTATAAGCCATATATTAGGTTAATGGACATTTTAACAGCTGAATTAAGTTCTTTAATTGAAAATGCTGACACACTTTTATCAGCAATTACTGAAACACTGTGGTTGCAGAAGGAGGGACCTCTCTTCGATTGTAGCCCTAAAATTCCCTTTGCCTATAAGTAACGTCCATTACTAGCTCACAGGAGTTATACTGGACACTAGCCATTAATCTCTTCTTTATTATTTTTGAATAAAATTTCAAAAGTTATAAAAGGTTTTATTTTTATTCCGCACAGTAGCCAGTTTATAATACTGTTTTCTTTCATATTGTGAGATTTAAAGGAATAATTTACTGACATTTGGTGGCTTCTTTTGTCACTAGGTAGACTTGGTCATTGTGAATTAGATGAACAAATGTGCATGAAAATATTTTTGTATAAGTACCATGTGCTAACAGATTGTGTCACTGGAGCTCAATCCTAAGTCATGTTTCATTCAACATTAGTACTCAAACCCAGCACTCAATAAATATGTCAAATCATCCCCAGACAACATTCACTGAGAAAGGTCCAGGTTTGCAGTGATTAGCAGTTGAGAAAGATTCCTACTATTGTGAATATTATATTCTCTAATGAGAGACAGAAATAAAAATTAAAATATCCATAAATCCACTTCAAGTGAAGGAAAATAATAGATGAAAACTGGGTAACCAAGCCTGGCATTGGTGGCACATGCCTTTAATCCCAGCACTTGGGAGGCAGAGGCAGGCAGATATCTGTGAGTTCAAGGCCAGCCTGGTCTCCAGAGCAAGTGCCAGGATAGGCTCCAAAGCTACACAGAGAAACCCTGTCTCGAAAAACCAAAAATAAGAAAGAAAACTGGTATCCAAGTTGAGTTGGATCATTGAAAAAATGTTTTATAAACATTCATAAACTTTACTATTAAACTAATATGTATAAGAAAATAATGAGTTAGTCATTTGCCATAAGGGAATCTTTTTTCCACATACCAGGTTCTTCTATTAAAATTTGACTGGCAAAATAAAGACTAAAAGAGACAAACAAAGAACAATTTTGTTAACATATGCAATATGAAGCATCAGGTATAAATTTATGGTTAAATAACCCCAAATGGTGATTAGAAATTTGGCATTATATGTAACTCTGAACAAGGAAAATGAGTATATAAAGAAGGGAGGAGAAGCTGGTCATTTGTGGCATACACCTTTAATCCCAGCAGTAAGAAGGCAAAGGGAGGTGGATCTCTGTGAGTTTGAGACCAGCCTGTTCTACAGCCTTTAATCCCAGCAGTAAGAAGGCAAAGGGAGGTGGATCTCTGTGAGTTACTGACCCCTATATCAGTTTAGATTTACATCAGGCATTTTGGAGTTTAACTTTTTTGTATTTCCTTTTTCCAGGATCTATAAATGGCAAAAATGTACATGAAATCCAAGGATATGGTGGAGTTGGTCAACACACAATCCTGGATGGACAAAGGTCTGGGCTCTCAAAATGAGATGAAGGAGCAGGAGAGAAGACCAGGTTCTTATGGGATGCTTGGAACCTTAACTGAAGAGCATGACAGCATTGAAGAAGAGGAAGAAGAGGAAGAAGAAGAAGAAGAAGAAGAAGAAGGAGAAGACGAAGGAGAAGAAGAAGAAGAAAAAGAAGAAGAAGAAGAAGAAGAAGAAGAAGAAGAAGAAGAAGAAGAAGAAGAAGAAGAAGAAGAAGAAGAAGAAGAAGAAGAAGAAGAAGAAGAAGAGAAGATTACAAGATAAATGAAAAAGGGTACTCTTGGGGGGTGACAAACTGTGATAATAGAAATGCATTGGTTAAACCAGTGGAGTAGTCTGTCAGTAAATGAAGTAAAATTTGCCTTTGAATCCCTGTCTCTGTCATGTCTGTTAGTCTTCCTGTGGATCAGAAGTTTGTATTTGCTTGTTTTAACCCTTCACTCTTTGATCTTTTGGGGACCTACCACGCACATCCCAAATAAATACACGGAGCCTTTTTTTCTTAAGAATGCCCAGCTTTGGCTTGGTTTGTTTCTTTCCAGTCTTTCTTAAATTATCCCACTTTTGCCTCTGGACTTTTACCTTTCACTATTTTAATATATCTTTTCTTTACTTCTTACTCCATGCCTTGCTGTTGTAGCTGGTTGGCTGACCCCTTGAGTCTTCCTCTCCTTTTTTGCTCCTAGATCTCTCCTTATCAGATTGCTCCTTATATTTAGTCTCTCTTCCTGTCAGCCTTGCCCATCCTTTCTCCTACCTGTCTATTGGCCATTCAGTTCTTACTAGACCCAGCAGGTGTTTTGGACAGACAAAGTAACACAGATTCACAGTCTAACAAATGCAACATAAAATAATGCTACACATCTTTGCATCACTAAGCAAATTTTCCACAGCATAAACAAGTAACACATCTTAAAATAATATCCCACAAGAGCTGTTTGTGGTATTTTCATTTTACTAGTTGTTTGTTCATTTATGTAGACAATGATGCTCTGGGAAGTTATTTTTCTCTATCCACTGATGTCCATTTACCTCCATCTGAAAAATGATCCAATTGTCAAAGTGTTATATTTGAATATCATATATTTTGATTTCTTAGAATCATAACAAAAAAGAATGGCATTGTGAAAGGAAAAACTACTAATTCAGAGTATTTTGGCCAGTGGTGTGTTGACATATTCATTGAAAGAAATGGTATATATAAATCATGGCCAGATGGTGGGTTGGAGAATTAGGCAACATCTAGCAAAAATAAAAACTTCTTAGTCATAATAAATCATTTAGTTTTTAGTTCAACTCAAAAGGCAGGTGATTAGCATATGACTTACAGATAAAGATAAAAGATCAGTGATTATGTTATTAATATAGAATCAGTGCTATCTTGTATGCAATGACTATAGTGGAGAGATTTAGATAATGGAATTCAATTGTAGTCAACAAGATTGGTATAGGAAAGAAAGAAGTTAAACTGTCATATGTCTATTATTGAGGTAGCAAATATGTAAGTGATTGTTTAAAAACATAGCAAGAATTTTCATTTTATTATTCTAATTTTGAATTTTTTAAAAAAGTTTAGAGTAGATTTTAAATGGATTATTAAGTACAACTTTAAATTTTAGAGGATACATTAAGGATGGAGATGGATATTCATATTCAGTACCTTAGCACAAGAGTACCTGAGTTTGGTTCCCAGCATTAACTTGGCTGTTCACAACCATCTGTTAATTCAGTTCCAGGAAATTCAATGCCTTCTTCTGATCTCTAAGTAAACAGTACATGCATGTTGTAAACATATATACATGATATCAAGCATTTATGTACATAAAAGTTTTTTAAATAAAAATCTGTTTTAAAATGTAAGTTATTTGCTCATACTCAGATTATCTGTAGCATAGTATGGGACATTTATTTCTTCCATGGTTTATTATTTCAATTTCATATAATTATTAGGTAATTGAAAGATATTATTTAGCTGTGATGTTAGAATTTTTGTTATATTTCTCATACAACATAATTTTAAGGTCTTTATTAAAGTGTGTATACATTGTAGAGAAGCACATATAATAATACAGATTTATTTCCAAAAGCTAAGCATATTTTTAACTAGCCTTTCAATTAAAAATAGAACCTTAATTACATCCCAGAATGCCCCATTTCCTGTCAATGCTAACCCTATGGATAAGCACTATTATGATTTGTAACAATGTAGATTAGTTTGGTCAAATTTTGAGCTTTATATAAATAGGTATAATTATATATATATTTATATTTATATATGTAATATATAAGTATGATTAACAATATCATATATATATATATGATCAGATGTTACTGACTTACTCTGCGTGTTACACTGATTTCTTCTCAACCTCTTTTACACACACTTAACTCTTGCTTCAATCAACATAAAATATATGGCTTCCACATTCTTCTGTTCTTCTGTAGTCATTCTTTCTGTGTGTCTCTTTCTACAAATATCCTAGAAAAATTCTTATAGTACAGTTTGAAGAACTCATACTAGAATTAGAGTATACTAAAAATTAGAATTTTCTTGGGAGCTTGTTAATAATTCTGGTACCTAAGTCCCTGCCATGGTTTATGAATCTGACAGTGAAGTAGATACCACTTTGCACTCTCATGTCTCTGCAATATATAATGTCTTCCTAGAAAACTCTCCACTGGTACTCTTATTAATGAAGTAATCAGGTTACTTTTATGTCTACAGATTAATATTACATAAAGTCATCTACAACATTTCTCACTAGAGGAAATCTTCTGTCCCTGTCTTCCTCTATTAATGTATTTATCTCTATCTGAATCACAGTGTAGTTACTTACAACCTGCCTGGCTTCCTGCCTATGTTATTATACCCTAGAGAGACATGACTTGGCATTCCTTTGTGTTCTCTACAGTGGTGACTATAACCATTTATAAATAGTGAGTTTTAAATAAGTATTCATTGCCTGGAATCCACAAGTCTAGGAGAATTTATTCCCCTAGGATTATTAAGAAATTTAATCTATAATCGCAAATGATGAGATACTATCATTGAGGTATATGGGTCTAACAGAGTGTTCTAAAAATTAAGAAGATAACCATCATTATCACAAGAAAGATCATGATAGTTAATTTTCAGAAAGTTGTAATGACTCCCAATACAGAAAGTGTTGCCAAAAAATAAATATTTGCATATTTTATTTACCTGCCAATGGCCTAATTAGATTTGATTTGCTCACAGAGAAGGTTGCAGTGAAAACAGGAAAATATGTACATGTTCATGTATTTAAATTGTGAGGATTTGTATTGCATTATTTCCTTTACAAGCTTAGCAAATTATTTCTGGATTTGATTGGTACCTTTAATTAGGAATCCTATATACAGATGAATTATTTTATAGTTAATGTTCAGTTTTATAGATAGTTCTCTCCTTGCTTTTTTTCTTTCAGAATGGCAAAGTGTATTTCAGTTTCTATTTCTGTTACTGTTTAAAAATACATGACAAAAGAATTTTAAAGGACAAAGTTTTTATTTTGGTTTATAGTTCTGATGGGATAGAGTGCATCATGTCAGGAAAAGCATGGTGGAAGGTAGAGAAAAAATTGAAGCCGAACACTAGCAGATCAGGTTACATCTGTACAAAATGTTTAGAGTGAACAGGAAGTGGAACTGGACAATGAAACCTCAAGGTTTGCCTAAACATTCACTTCATTTATCAAGATTCCACCTCCTAAATCTTCCCCAACCTTCTATACCATCAGCATCAGCATCAGCATCAGCTGTGAATCAAATGTTCAAACCCATGAGGTTAGGGAAAGGGTATTTTACATTGAAATTGCAACAAAATGTTTCATTACTAATAAATTATATTTATGTTTAGAGCTTGAAATAGTAAAAAGTAAAAAAGTATAATGTATTGGTATTAACTATTTTCTAAGTGCATTTCTAATATTGGTTCTATGAGATCTCCTACTCCTATTCACCCCTCTCTCTACATTGCTTTGTTCCTCTCCAGTCTACTCACAGTTCCCATTAAAGCAAAAAATATCCTCTTTCCTCGACTTCAGGATGACACAAAGATGCAAATATTCTAGAATCCAATTTTCCAACTATTTTCATATAGCTCTCTTCCCTTCTCTTAGTAACACTTCATTCCACCTTTCATAATTGACCTAGAAACCTAAATTTGATTACTCTATTCAGTCTTACTTCTTGGTATTGTGTTCTATCCTAACACAG